TCTCTCCTTCCTTCTCTCTCCAAATTTATCATGCCTAAAAATCTGTGAAAACATTATTTGCTAACAGGATTTAAACTTTTATTCGATCAGTTTTGAAGTTCCAAACCAGCTTTAGTTCTTCAATACAGATTCTTCAAGCTTAGGTAAGATTTTTCTCCTGAAAATATTTTACTAAAAAGTAAATAAAAATATCTAAAGTAATAAGAAACCTTCTCAAGAGAAGGAGAACATGGTACCTTTTTCTCTTCTTGCTGAGGTTAGTCTGTGCACCCTTGCCTTTGTAGAATTTGTGCCTATTTGGTTTAATTGCTTTCTGAACTTGAGCATTTATGACAGCATCACAACTGACATTTTTGGAACTAGTTTCACTTTTCTGGGTGGTTTGTTTGGCTGGTTTAGTTTATTGTGGTTTTTTTGAAGGGAAACAGAACACAAGCTTTCTGCTCCAAGAAGCGTCAGTAAAATAGACCAAAATCTGTACCATGTGACATAGTTTGGCTGTCATCTGGGTTGTTTCATATCTGTTGAAATTTTATTATAGCAGTTGAACTTCATGTGGGCATCTGTGCTTTTACTCACCTGTGCAATGTACGCCTGTTTGAAAACTACGTAACCAACTACACACATGGGTCTGTGGCTTTGGGGCTAGATGTATTAACGGGGGAAATCAAAAAGAACAAAAGACCACCCCCATCTAGAAATTCAGCAGTGATCCAAAGTAAACAAAGATACCCTCTAGATGTAATGGGAACCTCTTCAGTACTCCTCTTGGTAGCACACAAGTAGTTGTTACTACTAGTGTATAAGGAGCATTTTCTACTTTGGGGCAGGTCTTCCTGGGCAGATAAGAAACCAAACATCAGCAAGACACTGGATGTTAATACGTGAACACCTGTGGCGCTTCGGTTAGCTTGGATAATATACAGACAGTACCAATTCAGAAGTTTATATATTCACGTGAAGCTACGTTAGGATGGATAAAAAGTATTATTCTGGCTCATTTGCTATGATTGTTATGGAAGTAACAACTGGTTTTGTCTCGGTTCCTAGACTTTCAAGCAATTTCCTCATCTTGCTCCACTGCCAAGACCCCCTCTCCGTCCAGAGCTCACTGAAGAATCCCAAGACTCTCCTCAGAATCCTGGAACTGCAAGTGCCTTGTGCACAAAATGCAAAGGGGACCGCACTTCCAGGAACTGATCCCGGGTGTGCTTACCTACGCAGTTACCACTTGCATCTTTTCCGTGAAAACCTCAGCAAGTTCTGCTTCTCGTTGGAAGAGGCAAAATGAGGACTTTTCCACATGGCAAACGAGGACATTACAGGCTGTTTTGTCATATACAATCTAGAACTTCTTCAAAAACTCTTCAGGAGCTCCTGACTACCTTAACAAGTTGTCTACTATCGTTTTACTCTTAAGTACTATATCGTTACTTGCAGTGAGTTCAAGTCAAAGCACTATTTGTGCTACAGATGGTATTAATTTCCTTTCATTTCCTCTTTGTTAGTCTGTAATGAACTTCATTGCATTACTTCTGTAAGCTTGTTTCTACAGCCTTGAAAATGAAATCTTGCTTTTAAAACTGATTTACTTTTGCATTTCCGTTTCTTTCATCTCATTTACTTCCGAGGGGATTATTGCACATAAGGAAGAAACAAAAAATTTAATAAGATGTCCAGCTTCATTATTTTCTTTATTTCAGTGGCATTACTGAACTATGATTTCAGGGATCTTAGCTCTCTTCAGTATTTGGAAAGGCAGTGGCTGATCTTGCCTCTATTTATAGAAATCATAGGAAGCATTATTTTGTCTGTTCACCTAAATGGCACAATTAAGCTTCCAAAACGCTCAAGGTAAGACAACACTGCTTGTAGTCCCTCCATTATTTTGATGCCACCAAGAAAAACATAAAATGAATCGTTGATGTAGCTGTGCTAAGAAAATAGTTAATGCCTGAAGCAGCACAGCTCCTACCACCTACAATGTGTGGGGTTGTCTTTTAAATAAGATAAAATATATCATTTAGCAAAGTAGTGTAGAACTTCATTTTCTCTTGTCCTGGACAGAATACATTTGAAAAGCACAAAGACATGCTTTTTTAAAAAAGAAAAAGTATATTGACATAAACACCCTAGATTTGTTTTCCAAGACTGTTCCCCGTCCTTCCTTTCAGATGCTCACCAGCTGCGTGAAAAACCGCACGGCAGGCTCAGCTGCCAGGGAGTATCTGAAGAGTCTGGATTTTCCCCTTTGTTCACTACCCCTAGAAGGCAGAGGCGTGGTGGGGTTTGGGAAATCGTTTCTGGGCAGTTGGGGGAGTTGGTTTGGCTCAATCTCTGCAAACCCTTCTTTGGTGTCACCATCTCCACACAAACCAGCAGCTGCAGAAGTAACTGGCCGTTTCGAACATTTCCTCACAGGGTCAAGGCGCTCGACCTCGTCTTAAGACACGCAGCTGTTCCTCAAAGGGTAAGAACCCCCCGCCCTGACCATAAACTCCTGATCAGAGCACCAGGGGATCCTGCCCTATGAAGTGACTATTCCCTTGACATCGTACACTCTGGTGTTTGAGACACTAGTATCTTCTCTGCTTACCCTGGGAGGCCTTCAACAAAGGACAACAAAATTACCAGCTTGTGGTTCTAGTACAGGCAGGAAGAATTTAATTTTACCTGTTCACACAAATACTCAGCTGTTTCTCATCCAACATTGTGTAAATATAATCCCAAGCTTAAAGACAAGGTCAGATTGCTAAATGTATCGAGCTTGCTGTTACAGTACAAGAACTTGTTTTAACTTTATTTTCATGTACAGTCTCAGAATATATAGAGCATAGAAAATAGTATATTTTAAAGGTATATCAGGTAGAAAGAATTTCCTAAAATACGTCTGTCCCATTAAAACTCGAGTTCAAACTGGTCTGGCGTTTTCTGGGTAGGCAGAACATTTCCTTCTGTTCTATGCGGCATCATGGGTGTGCTCTGCCGGCACACCGTGCTGAGCACGCTTCCAGCTGAAGGGACAGAGCTTTTACTGTGGAGTTAAGCTGTGCGTTCACGGATATATACACCTTAATTTTAAATATTTTCTCTACCCGAGCATCTGATAGTGCAAGGCAAGAAACCAGAGAAGCATCTCTTGAAGTCAGGGGCATAACAGCTTAATTTACAATTTTACAGAACCGTCTTCCAGATATAGGACTGTTTTAATCCATATTTGCTTAAAATTTCCCTTAGTACTTCATGTTTGGATAAAACCAGCAAAATTCCACCTTCAACCTGCATGTGCTCATTTAAGACAAATTATGCTTGCTAGCAAAATTCAGGTTTGGAATCTGAAATATACTCAGCAAACTGCAGAAACACATTTTGAAAAAGTAGGGTAATAATCCTTGAAATGCAGAGTATTCCCACTAAGAGCAAGAAAAAATCCTGACAAAATATGAGCTGGGCTGCTGAGAATTCGTCTTGCTCAGGGTGACCGGGGTTTTTCATTATTATAACACTTGATTTGTTGTGTCCTGCTTAATTGCCTAATTTCGTAACAGTCTTGTCAGGCTTCTTTGCTCCCAAAAGAAAAATACATTCCAAAGCTCTTTTGGATGTTCAAGGAACGGAGATGGAACTGCACAACCGATCACTCACCTTGGAGCCAGCTGCTGTACAGTCAGGCACCTGAACTTTTCCTGTGTGAGAAATCAAGGATGAATTACCTGCAGGGATGGCTCAGAACCTCAGCTGATGTCTGATGCTCTAAGTATCAACTTTAGTAGAGCTACACTACTTTGTAATAATGAATTTGTTCTACATTAAGTGTAAGACCTCATGCAAAACCTATTTACTTTTTCATTGCCTGTGGACTGGGGCCAGCTGCAGTAAATAAACTGAAATAAATAAATGGTTTGTGCTTTTACAAAGCCAAATCTATATTTAAGCATCAAAGCTGTGACTAACCAGAAAAAGCCACTTGCTCATTCTCCACACTGATCTCCCAACTCCAACAGACCATCAGCCAAAGGCAGTTTAACTACTCTGCTGAGCAGTTAAACCTGATACTACTGTATTTATCTCAGAAAAACAAAAATCACCAACTAATTTTATCTTGAAAAACTGTCCTGGAATTCATAAGCATAGTAACTCCCCCTTAGTATGAGTGTTTAGTTCAAGTAAAATTCAAGAAGGAATTTTGAATGACTTTTTTTAAGACTAATTTCTTAATGGGCAGGCTCGGGGAATGCTTTTTTAAATGATGTATTAGCCAGGAAGTCACTACATAATAAAAGCCCGGCGTAATAAACGTGTGTGAAAACCTAAATTTGGCATTGCTTGAGCAGTAACTTGATCAGAAATTTGCAGATGTAGGCTTCTTTCCCCTTTCCTTCCTTCCAGAGAGACTTTGCGCAAGTAAAGGTACAAGTAAAGGGACCTCTCACTGCTCAGACTATTCCCAGGCTGGGCAGTGAGTTTGCTGGTAAATTCTCCCGCCAAAGGCTCCCTGCGCTTGAATTAAACGCGAAAGAGACTCAGTTGCTGGAGTACAAAAAGGAGTTGTTTACTTTTGCACAGCAAGTGGTTTCAGTAAAGGCCTGACGGCACTTGCTGCGTGTTACGAAGAGCAGAACGCTCGTGCGCTGCCAGAACAGACGCACCACGGGCAGCCTTGGGCTTTGAGAATTGTTCACTTTTTCGCTGTAATCTGGGCCTCATTTTTCACTCCCCCTATATTTAAGCCACTCCTCCAAAAGGACACTTCTGGTCCAGGAATACAGTTTGCGTATTTCTCACAAATTAATTTCCACAGGCTTTATCTGTAATCTGCCACAGGCCAGGAACAAACTGTTAGTGCCTAGTAAAGGGAAAACCATTCACGATGACGAAATGCGTGAAAGAAACAACTTGTCTCTGTCCTGCTCAGACCCCTGACCTGTAGGCGCCAGGGATCTCATCAAACCTGCCTTTTTTTCTTTTCTAACTCTGTTTCACATCAAGAACACAGTACATTTTTAGAGAAACAATACCTTTACTACAAAACCATGTAAATGATTATATACAAAATGGTTACTGGAACTTGGTTTTGCGCTGCAGTGACAGAAGGGACTAGCTGCTCACATTTATTTACGCTTCCTTAATACTAGGTACATAACACCGCTGATCAGAGTAAAGGCAAATGCAATCCAGGCTAGGATGAAGGAATAGCCATACTGGCCTCTAGAAACTGCAGGGCTGTATTCACTGCTCTTGTGCAGTTCTTCGTGCCTATCTGTATAAATGGAAGCTGCAATCATAACACACAGACCTGGAGGAGGAAGAAGAAAGTCAAGTTTAGCATCTCAAAACATTCTCAATACGCCTAACAACTATTCACTGGCTCTTCTGTCAGCTGCTTCCACCAGCATCCCTTTTTTTTT